AGTACACCTTTTTCTCTGCGAGACACAGAACATATTCTAGAATAGACTATATTTTGGGGACTCCCAATGTGTCTCACTGAGTCAGAAAAGTCGAGATAGTCTATACATCCTTATCTGACCATCACGCCAACAAGTGTGAATTAGTATTTGAGAACAACCCCAAACGTGCTTTAAGGTGGAAATTTAACTTAACTTTACTTCAGGATACTAAGTTTTGTGAACATTTTAAATCAGATCTTAATGCATTTATAAGTATTAATAAGAACTCAGTACCTGATGTAAGATACCTATGGGATGCAATTAAAGGAAGTATCTGTAACTGTACAATTTCATTTGCCTCGGGACGTAATAGGACTCATCTCCAAGAATTAGCAAAGCTGGAGACTAGATTTTCATCCCTAATCTCTCAACAACAAAACAAGTACGACCAAGCGAGGGAAAAAGAATTAGGGGAGGCAAAGGCTGAGCTTAATGCATTTCTTATGCGAAGAGCAGAGTTTCTAGTTCATAGAGCGAGAGAAACCCACTATTTAAATGGAAATAGACCTAGCTTTGTTTTGTCAAGGAAAATACACTACAACGATAAAAAAGCAGACATTGTCTCCATTAAAAACAGAGAGGGTGAAGTTGTATATGATCCTTTGAAAATTAATCATGAATTTAAGTTATTCTATCAACAGCTGTACTCATCTGAAGCAACTTTCACAAAAAATGATCTTGTTTCCTTTTTTGATGGTTTAAATTTACCCAAATTATCAGAACAGCAAAGAAATCTATTAGATTCCCCATTTACTATTAATGAATTATATGAGGCAATTAAATGCATGAACCACGGCAAATCACCTGGCCTGGATGGAATCCCCCCTGAGTTGTATTTAAAATTCTGGGATAATTTGGGCCCTTCTATCTTAGAAATGTTTCAACAAGCCATCAAATTAGGATGCTTCAATAGAGACATAAATACAGCTATCATCACAGCTACACAAAAGAGGCAAGGATAGCACCTTATGTTCTAGTTTCCGCCCTCTATCACTGCTTAATGTAGATATTAAGCTTTATGCAAAGGTCCTGGCTCGGAGACTTGAGACAGTTCTGCCAATTTTGGTCCATCCTGACCAAACAGGTTTTGTAAAACAAAGATATGCATCTGATAATATGAGACGTCTTTTGCACATTGTTGATGCTGGTACTAACATATCTTCACCTTGTGCAATGCTGTCTGTAGACGCTGAAAAAGCCTTTGATAGGCTCGAATGGGAATATTTGTGGCATACTCTGGAAACTATAGGCTTTGGTGATAATTTCATTGGCATGCTTAAAATGCTGTACCATAACCCAACTGCTGTCGTCATTGCATCTAAACAACGCTCTAGACCTTTTACTATTGAAAGAGGAGCTTGCCAAGGGTGTCCAGTTTCTGCACTGCTGTTCACATTATCTCTGGAACCCTTAGCACCAAAAATCAGAAACTCAGATGAGGTAAAGCCAATAGTAGTGAGCGGAACTTATCATAAGACCTCTCTGTATGCGGATGATTTATTATTATTTCTCAATGACGTGCTGTTTTCCCTCCCGGCCGCATTGAAGATTTTTCATAATTTTAGTTTAATATCTGGACATAAGATAAATCTGAACAAGTCCTCTTTGCTTCCTTTGAATACTGCTATGAGCAATCTGCAGCTGGATGTAGGGATTCCAGTAGTTACACATTTTAAGTATCTTGGAGTTGATATATATCCATCTCTTGAAAAAATTGTTTCTAAAAATTATAAGTGCCTAAAGAAATTAATATCTGATGAACTAAATAGGTGGTCTGCATTATAAATTCCACTCTCTACACGAATATCAGTGTGTAGAGAGTGGATCCCAAGGTTAATTTCTATGCAAACATGCTACACTTACCCCCACCAGCTGGTTTTTGGGAGAAGATACAGGGGCTAGCATTTAAATTTATATGGCAAAACCAGCACCAAAGAATTAGTAGGTCTACGCTTCAGAAGAGTAGGACCTCAGGAGGGCTCTCGGTGCCTTATTTTGAAATGTATTTCCTATCCTTTGTGCTGAGATCTGTATCAAGTTGGTTTGTCAAAAATGCTGACATACCTTGGGTGAACATAGAAAATCATATTGTATCCCCATACATGCTTAAAGATGTTCTCTTCTCGGGCCTCTCCCAAAAATTCTGTCTGAACAAATTTGGATCAATTATTGCAAATTCAGTTTTTGTTTGGAATAACATAGCCAAATCAGTCAAATGGGATATAAAGTGGCACTTAGATACACCAATTTTTAGAAATAATTTATTGCTTATAGGTGGTGAACCAATCATTTTCTCCTCTTGGCAAAACCAGGGAGTTCATACTTTGTCTGATATGTATAATGTAGATTGCCTTAGACCATTCCATGAACTTAGACAAATCTATAATATACCTGGCACCTCTTTATTTTTTCATTTAGAGTTGCGCACAGCAATGTGTACATATGGTGTCCCATGGAATCAAACTTTATTAATTCATCCCCTGATGCATCTTTTGAACATTGCAAAAGTTAAAAAAGGTTTCGTTTCTCGAATATATAATGAGCTACAAGGAAGACTAACTGGACCCACAGGCAATGTTCTTGTTTGGAATATAGATATTAAAGAGTTTGGGCCTAGCATTAACTGGCAGAGAGTGTGGAGTAATATTCCCCTAACATCTCGTAATCATAATCATCAGTTAATTCATTATAAGCTAATACAAAGATATTATTTATCCCCAAGACGATGCTGCCAGATCCGTATTACTTAGAGCCCACTATGTCAGTTATGTCCTCACAAAGTGTTGGGCACCTACCTCCACATGATGTGGGAATGCCCTGGGGTCTATTCCTTCTGGCTCAGTATTTCAAACATTCTTTCTTGTTTAATTCAGACAAACATACCCTGTTTACCGCATATATTGCTTTTAAATGATGATACTTCTCTGAATTTAACACTCCACAAGAAGAGAGTACTGTTCGCAGGTTTAACTGCAGCAAAAAAAATGTTGATAAAGCGATGGAAACCACCACATGTTCTAAATGTGTATCTGTGGAAATTATAATTTTATGAAGTCCTGCCATTAGAAATCTCCAGTGCCCGTGCTCAAATGGCAAAGATAGAAGCGATACAGAATCTGGAATCGGCAGCAGAGAAAGTCAAAGTGCTGTTTTGAGGCTATACCCTTTTTTTTAAATTTTTTTATTTTTTTTATTTTTTTTGAGAAAAGTGAGAAACACCTTATGAATATGTTTGCTATGTGCGGCTGTTTTTTTTAAATTTTTTTTTGTGTTGTTATTTATTTATTTATTAATTTATTTATTTTTTCCCTGTAATTGTCCATAATTAATGTTGCCCTCGGGACAAGGGTGGGGGTAAGGGCTTTGGATGGAATCAAATGAAATAAAATAAAATAAAAAAATTGATCACAAAAAAAAACATCAATATATGCCGAAGTCAGAGTGAGAATGTGTTGGCAAAACATGAAATGTCAAATTAACAAATACTGACCAGGAAGGGCGGTGGTACGGTGGAGCAAGAGGGTTCCTGGTTCAAATCCAGGGTGGGGAGCCCCTCTGTGCTGAGTTTGCATGTTCTCCCCGTGTCAGTGTGGGTTTTCTCTGGGTACTCCAGCTTCCTCTCACAGTCCAAAGACATGCAGGTTAATTGGTGACTCTAAATTGGCCGTAGGTGTGAATGTGAGTGTGAATGGTTGTCTGTCGGCCCTGTGATAGTCTGGTGACCTGTCCAGGGTGTACCCTGCTTCTTGCCCAATGTCAGCTGGGATAGGCTCCAGCCCCCCGTGACCCCTAACAGGTAAGCGGTTATGGAAAATGAATGAATGACCAGGAAGAGAATCAAATGACCACAAAGAGACATAAACATACAAAAAGATGCACAGTGACTACAAAGAGATGCAAAACCACCACTAAGTCTTTGTGTCTTGACTCTTGCTCCTATGTACATGTAGGACAGCCCCACCACCTCTCCTACAGGGGCCCAGTGTGTTATAACGCAGCAATGCCAATATTGTAATGCTGCAGACTTGATCAAGTCTCTCTTTTTTAAATAATTATGGGAAAAAGAAGAAAAAATATGCAAAATTACTTTGTGGATTAAGGTTGCACATGTGCCTTATAGTTGAAACTACCCAAAAGTAAATGCAGTAGCTGGAAACAGTTGCACCTTGACCAGTTACAACTTTAATAGAAGTCCTTCATTGTCATTGTACCAGTACAATGAAATGTTTTTAAGCTACAGCTGTACATGGTGCAACTTGACATGGTCAACCCAGAAAAATACCTTTATCGCATTACTAATAATCAGTGATAACAGGCAGATGTTGTTATTGCACTTAATGTATGTTATGTCACCTGGACTGGAATGAAGTATTGGTAATTGGTAGCTGTTAGGCTACTTGAGTTGCTGATAAGTAGCCTACTTTTACTTTACTCAAATTATTATCTGACCAGCCTATCTTTCTCTCAGCACTGAGTAGGCTATGATGAGGACTGGAGTTTGTTGGGCAAATATCCTGTATGGCTGCAAGTGCTAATCTTATCAGCACATTTATAAACTAAACAGTATGGTGCGGATATGATATATGACCAGGTCTACCTGCTGGTATGATTTTAAAGTTTCTATGGAAGCTGCAGTGATGACTGCTCCATGTTCCATGACTCATTGGAGATGTAAACAAGTGCAAGTGCATGTGTGACCAGTGTGGGCATCTCTAATATGCCGGGTGATTGTTGACAAACTAGTAAAAATACATTAAATGCATTTGTGTTTCCATGCTGCCAAATGTCACAGTGCTGCGTGGTCTGGAATTAAAGTCCCAACTACTTGACCTATATTCTGAATCAAACTCATGAGACAGATAGACAGAGGGGGAGAAGGAGGGAGATGATTGGTGGAGAGCAGCGGTGGTCAGAGTATAAATGCCCTTAAGTGCTGGGTGGAGAGCAGAGAGCAGCTGGCACCACCGAAGCAGGATCGCTGCGCGCTCCAGTCAGTCACACACCTCAGCTCAGCATGTCTCCGTCGGAGGGTCCCAACAAGGTCCGGCTGGTGTTCCTCGGGGCAGCCGGGGTCGGCAAGAGCGCGCTCATCCGCCGCTTCCTCCACGACCACTTCGAGCACAAGTACACGCGCACAGTCGAAGAGCTCCATGTGCTAGAGTACGACACTGCGGGGTCTGGGAAGATGCGCCTGGAGATCTTGGACACGAGCGGGAGCTACTCCTTCCCGGCCATGCGGGAGCTTAGCATCCGACACAGCGACGCGTTCGCGCTCGTGTACGCGGTGGACGACCCCGGGTCCCTGGAGGAGGTGCGGCGGCTCCGCGACGAGATCCTGGAGCTGCGGGGCGGCAAGAGCGCGCCCATCACCGTGGTCGGCAGCAAGGCAGACCTGACAGACACTGAGGGTCGCGTGCTGCAGGCGGCTGATGTCATGGCCACAGTGGAAGGTGAGTGGGAAGCCAACTTCGTGGAGGCGTCCGCGCGCACAGGTGGGAACACGGTCGGAGTGTTTGGCGCGCTGCTGCAGCAGGTGAACCTGCCGCCCCGGCTGAACCCTGCGGCGTGGAAGCGAAGAGACACGGTGCCAAGGCCAGCGGTCAAGAGGAGACCACCACTGAAGAAGAACAACAGCTGTATCTTGTCTTAGGAGCATTTTCTGCAGTGGATGAAGGACTTTGCAGCTGGACTGCAGCTGGACACAGAACTCTACCTGGTTTGTCCAGAGGTGGGAAGAAGGTCCCCTTTGAACTAATCGAAGCTTTACTGCCTTTGAAAGTCTGGACAGTAATGACTGTCATAATAGTTTGATGGAAACCCTGATATGGGATGCACTTTAATTCACATTTTTACATTGTTTATCTTATGTGAATAAAATGTTTGTTGTGATTTTCGTCTGCTGTGTCATACATTTTCAATCCACCACCTTAACTAATGGTTAAAGAAAACCTTCTTTTTAATAAAAAATTAAGTTTTCAGAGAAGTCTATGGCAATAAAATGTTTCTCAATATCTTCATTTGAAATACAGTCTTAGAAGAAAAGTGAAAGTGCTTGTTATGCAATAAGATATATAGCCTATGGTATGTTTGGATTACGATAGTGGATATGCAGCTGGTTGAGTTAAAGCTAATTTAACTGCTCAATATAATCTGTAAAATTCATCATATTTCATATAGGCTGACTGATCTAAAACAACAGTCTTCAGAGTCAGAAATGTACAGTCTTTGCCTCTGAGATGTAGTGGAGTAGCTAGAAGCATAAGATCAAATAGAAATACTAGTAAATTTCAAGTACCTCAAATTGTACTGCAGTACAGCTGAGTAAATATGCTCACGTCCCTTCACTACCGCAGTCAGGAGCCATAATGATTTCTGTGTCCCTTTTGAAAGCTATTGCCCATTCACTAGTGCTCACATTAAAGCTCACAAACCAACATTCAACTTTGATTTTATACTATTTTTATACTACTAAGACCATAAAATATAGTCAATACCCTCACCCAGGGGCTTAAAATAGACAGTGAAGGCAGGGCAGTTGCATTAGGGCCCGTGGGGTGAGAGGGCCCATAGAGATATGGGCAGAAAACTGGGCCGTATGAGTAATTTAGATTGCCACCTTAGATATATGCCTGTGTTCAAAGTACAGCTCACATTTGGTGCCATGTGCTTCATGTGCAATTGAAAAGGCAAACCATCACCATCATGTTTTTCTTTTCTTTTTTTTTGTCAAATAGCCAATAATAAAATATAACAAAATATGTTATAAAATATATGCTTACACTACATAAACTACAAATAAGGTATAAAAACTGTTCAATTAAAAGAACAATTCCTTATTTAATACCTACACATTTATGCAATGCTGATTTCTGGTTGATGTTGGTGTTATCCAGTGTCAAGTCTCTATTGTACAGTAGCTGTTTAGGCACATAACAAGTAACTAGAGTGCCTTAGGGCCCGTCATGATAGCATGATACCACTGCCCTCACCACTCCACATGAAGACTGGACAAACAGGTTTTCCTGATTTCAGAGATGTATTTAGCAATGAGAAATAGTTGAAGTCTCACTGAATCTCACTACAGTTTAGTCCTGAATGAGCAGTGAGATAGGGTTTGGAGTATCCTGTGAGACGTAAGAGTTAGATTACTATATGCCACAATAGATACAGTGTTTTAAAATGTTTAAAGAAATCCTGTAACTATTGGGAAAGTTGCTCTTGTGCCTTTAAGACTCATGCATCCCTGAATTTCCCATAAATCAACACATCATGATTATAAATCAACAAAATGTTTCAAAATATAAGAATTCACATTTTGAAATTGTCATCATCGTAAACAAATAAGTGCACATGCCTGAGCTTTTTCTTTGTCTCTTTCCTTGTCATTCTCGTGATGATGAACGTCAGCTGCCATTGTTCGCCTCCGTGGATGCACAGAAGAAATATTTAGATCAGTCAGTGCTTCATAAATAAAAATAGCTCCTCCTCTCCACATTATGCTGTTTTTGGATGCACACACACACACACACACACACACACACACACACACACACTGTAAAGTGGAACAAAGAGGATAAACAAACCCACGGATCTCATGGTCTTTTCATACATCTGTCCTCTTCTCATCCACTTATTCTCCTCTTGTCTTCCTCTACTTGTCCTGATACATGTTAGTTCTATAATCTGCATCCGAAAACAGAAACACTCGTGGGCACAGAAACATCAAAAAGAAGGAAGATATTAGCACTGCTGATGAAAGGGGATGTACACTATAATGCATCTGTTTTATTTTAAAGCATTATCACCCTCACCAGATAAAAATAGGCGCTGTATCCTGACCTGTTAAACATTGTCCTTGTCAGTTCAGTTCCTGTCATCTGTGGTTTGTGTGTGTTTTGAAATGTGTTTTAAATGTGCAGTGTTTATTTGATGTTGAGCCAACAAAGTTTATCTTATCCTATGACATTTTTTTGACATGAGAAGGATGTTGCTGCAAGATTACACATTGAAAAAAATAATATTGTTTTGAGTGCTACCTGTGCTAATCTTCACCAAATGGAGTGACGTAACGAGAAGGAGTCTGGTGCAGTGAAGAAGTCCAGTAACATCAAGTTCAAGTGATTTTATTTTCCAATTGCACAGGTACAGAATAACAGCTACATTGGAGTTTCTACACTGTTTTCTCAGTCACGACCAATAAAAAAAGGGAAACTGGAATATTATTTTGAAAGACTATGCAGGTCACACATTAAGCAAAAAATAAATACAATTAAAGAAGAATACAAAAATACAAGCGAGCACATGGCATTGACTCAGCACAGGCTTCAGCAGCAGGCCAATTAGCTGCATATTCTCTTTAATATGGACTTACATAGCCATTTATAAACTTTTGTATGGGCACCCTGTTTGGTAGGTTTTTATGATTAAGGTAATGACAGTAACAATGATTATTAGTTGCTGACAACTGACGATCATAATTACAAGTGAAGCTGAAATACAACGCCTATAGGCATAGCAGTAGTCAGTTGATGGGTACTGTAGATACTAGCAATATTGTAGGTGAGCAAAAGAACCATGTGCCCCTCACACTGTATTTCGTGAAGTGCTGCCCCTCACTGACAAGAAAGTATACACAACTAAGCCTCATATTCAAATGTTTCTGCTGTATTTGGTAAGCCAGTAGTGGTGGAAGAAGTACATTTTATTTGAGTGACAGTAGGCTACCGATACCATCATGTAAAAATACTCAGTTCCAAGAAAAATCCCTGCAATTAAAAGTTGAATTAAGTAAATGTTGGCTACAGAGGCCTGTCAGTGATATAGTATTACATACTGGGCTATATGTAAGGATCACACTGTTGTAATAACATGCAAAAATCTTTTTAACGTTGTAGCTGGTTGAGACTCAGCTGATGTTACTACTTTATAGCCTACTGCTAATGGGCAGATAAACATTTTATAAACTCTTCATATGTTCTATGTATAAAATTCTAATCTGAAAAGTTATTGGTGTAAAAGCTGTCAAATAAAACATAATAGGCAACTTCCTACTAATATATAGAGTAACAGCATAAAGTACTAGCAGAAAAATGTACTCATTACAGTTCTTAAATAAATGTACTGTGTTACATTATATGAGGTATAGTTACAGTATATGAGGTTAAAATGCTCATGGATCCACACTACTCTGCATAAAAGATGCCTACTTTCACTTTCAACTACATTTTGTAATCAGATGTTTTAATAAAATGTTAAATGTGGAGGTTTAAGTTATAGCTACGATGAGGATTTATCTCGATGCTGTTGCGACTTTAACTCTAATAAAGAATTTTAAAACCCTTTCTCCTCAAACCCAAAACATCAACTTGTAATCGACAACTGTTTTTAAATCCCACTCGGACCACATTTCCCGTCAGCGCTCTGGTTTTAGGAAATGATGACGACCAGCAACCAATCACATCGCAGAATACGACTTTCTCGCTCGGTGATTGGCTATTTCGCACTAGTCTTCCCACGATGCTTTGCTGCGCCGCTTCGGAATTCAAATCGAGCGGACCAATCAGAGAGCGCCGTAACGACCGAGGCAGCATTTTAAATTTGTACCAGAGACTGTTGTCATAAGGCAGGACGGAGAAACGCTGCAGCCACCGAGGGACAAGCCTGGCGACCAGTTTCACGTCTTCGTCAGGTTTTTTAAAACATTGAGATTCGTATGCACTTCATTTTAATCGTTGCATTTAATGTTTATGTAACGTTCGCTTTTAAAGTTGGTTAACGTTAGTTTTTATTCGAATTCACAAGTGTATGGGAGCAAGCTAGTATCCAGGGCCAAACCAACGTCAGTTGAGGTAGGGTTAACAATAGTTGACCCGTTCAGATATTATCGATACCTCTGTTGCTGAAGACTTTTAACAGTTTATTTTAAAGACGCCGGAGTGCACTTTAATCCAAAATGAGCGCAGGTATCGCGAAGCCGGCGAATCCGTCGGCACATGTCGACCCGAAATCTGCACCTCTCAAAGAAATCCCAGATGTTCTGGTTGACCCACGGACCATGAGGAGATACGCGAGGGGAAGATTCCTCGGTAAGGGCGGTTTCGCCAAATGCTACGAAATCACAGATATGGAGACGAAGCAGGTTTTCGCCGGCAAAATCGTGCCCAAGTCCCTGATCCTGAAACAGCACCAGAGGGAGAAGATGACCTCTGAAATCGCCATTCACAAGAGTCTAAATCACGCAAACGTCGTAGGTTTCCACGGGTTCTTCGAGGACGACGACTTTGTCTTCGTTGTCTTGGAAATCTGCAGGAGAAGGGTGAGTGTCGTGGGAAAATGCCTGCTCTCTGTCTCGTGAGCACACTGCACAGGGTCAACGGTTAACACGACGGTCTCTGCCGTTGTCCTCCCAGGCCTGAGTCAGTGTAGATTAAATTGTAAGGAAAGCTGGTGAAACACTGAAAACAGTCGCCTAAGTTAATCCTTAATGTAATTATTTAACCTTAAATCAGTCATTATGCCAAAAATTATTAATTGTTGGTGAGTTATTTCCGTTTTTTGTGCCATCATGGCCACCTCCCAAATATTTGCATTGGATTCATCATCCAGTCCATCCACTAACTTATAACACTTTGACATTACATCCCTCTCAAAGCTGCAGCATTGCCACAGTGGCCCTTTAAAGTCTTGAAGCAAGGAAACTAGAGTTTAAGTTATAGTTTTTCTTTGCCTTTAATCAAACCATTTCCATTTCAGTCCCTGCTGGAGCTGCACAAGCGTCGTAAGGCTGTGACTGAGCC